TTTTTTTTTCAACTTTATGTGGAACACAATTTTACAAATCTGATGGTAACCTTGTAAAGCTCACTTCAGGGTGACAGATGGTACAACTTGCCTTTTTTATTTCAGTTCCCTGCGCGCTGGCTTGAAAAGCAACCTTGTTAGTCCGCAGGTTTTCCCTTGGGATATGTAGTGCAATTTTGCTATGTTCTACATCGAACTGTAAAAGTTGAAACGTCTTTTATACATATGCACAATAAAACTCTCAATCTCAAACAGTTATATGAGGTAAGTTATTAGAAAATTGGCAACATAAAAAATGCCACACATCATAAGAACTACTGCACAACAAAATTACAAGTGATACGATTGGTAAGACCAAACTCTATACAATCACCCGGGAGCACTCTAGAAACTCCAGCAGGTGTACCTGTGAGTAGAAGATCACCTTCTTCCAAGGTCACATATCGAGTGATGTATTCTATCAAGGTTGGAATGTCGAAAATCATTACGTTTGTTTTACATCGTTGCTTTTCAACCCCGTTGATGCGGCAAAATAACTCTTCGGAATGGGGATCCTCAATCTAAAGGGCAAAAAGTGAGAAAACAGAATGTTTCTTTCCAAAGAAAGTTTTTTTCCTTTTTCGCTATTTGATGTAGTTGTGAAAATTTCATTTTTTTCTTCTTATGAGTGGTTAGCAGAAAAACCAATCTGATGGAAGATGGAAAATAGCACTCACTTCTTCCTTGGGTATAAACTTCGAAATAGGACATGCAGTGTCGAATGATTTAGACAGAAACCAAGGCGCTCCACCTTTCTTCGCCTCATCCTAAATTTCTTTAATGAGTTTTTGCAATTTTGACAAAAATGAACAAAGTCAAGTGACCTGAAAATCTCTTGCAGTCATATCGAGTGCCACCGCGTATCCGCCAACATATGACATTGCCTCGCTCCTAGTCACAGCCTAGATTTTCGCAATTGCCAAGATTAAGATGGCAATATATGTTTATCCTACCTTAGCAGTTTTACCAATAACCACACCTAATTCCACTTCTTGATGAAGATGTTGTGAACCGATCGGTGTAACAATGGGATTTCCTTCTTGAACGAATGCGTTCGGAGACTGAAATGAGCAAAAAGCATTTGCGTAAACGACCGGGGCATTTGCAATTGTTTTTTAACGAAAGGCTTTCAAGCGATTTAATCTTGCTTGTGCACATTGCTCACCATTGAAAGTTCAGCAAAAATGTCTTTTCCATTTCCTTTCATTTCATTTTATTGATACGCTGAAGGCGTTCTACAACAATAACAAAATTGTGTTAGTCATACAATAAAGAACAACAATAATGAAAGTTC